AGTGATGAACTCTATAGTCTGGAAATTTTCCCAATTTCCATCCTGATTATGGCTAAGTCTTAGCAATCTTAGCAAATTAATGAGATGCATCTGTCTCTGATTTGTTCATTTCCAAAAATAAAGACATGAAAGAACTCTTTAATTGTGTTTGCCATGTGTTCAAATGAACAAATTAAAGACACTAGGTGGGTTAGATAGTAATAATAACCAAATAATGCAAGATTAAAATCACTGTTTTGTGAAACTATTTTAAGGGTACTTTAAAGAACAATATTTTCCTGCTTTTATTGTATTAAGCTGGGAGGGTGCTTGCACAAAATCTCTTCCTCTTTACAATTACTTTAAAAAATCTCCATATAGTTTCTAGTTCCTTGCTATTCAAAGTATGGTCCAGGGAGCTTGTTAGAATTGAAAATCTCAGGTCCCACTCTAAAAATATCCAGTGAAAATCCACATATTAAGAGGATCATCAGGTGATTCAAATGCATGTTTATGCTTTCTCAGATGGAAAGAACAGAACCTAATGACAAATTTTGAAGTTATGATAACTAAAGCATAATTAGTATTAAAAACAGATGCTATCAATTCTTTCTCAACACATCAGTATTGACATTTTAATGCTAAAACAGATACTTCTAAGGTAAATAGTATTGTAAAGGACCACCAATCATTCAGCATTTCTTTACAACACTATTTACCATGTGACATAAAATTTACTTGTTATTCTGTATATAACATATAACATGTATGTCATGTATCAATATATCATAAGTCAGAAAATATTTTAAAGCCAATTTAAACATGTAATTATCTCAAAGCTTTTTAAAGAAAACTAAAGAGTTAAACTACAAAAGGGAGAATGCCGTACTTTAAGCCCAGAAATAAGAATCACATAACTGATTTCCATCTTTGAAATATAGGAAAAGCCAGGTGGGGTGGTGCACAGCTGTAGTCCTAGCTACTCTGAAGGCTGAGGCAGGATGATTGCTAAAATATTAGTCACTGATTATTGCATAGCTGTTTCTTTTTCACCATTATCCAGATCTTCTTATATTTTTCTCTTTCTCTTTCTCTTTCTCCTTGGTACGTGTCATCTTCCTATTTATTTGTGTTCCCTGCAATTAATCTAATTCTTTCCTACCATTATTCCTAGTAAGCAATTCCTTTCCTAGTTCTCTACGTTTATTTTGTCTTATTTACTTTTTCCATTTTATCCCTACTATTTGACCATTCTTTTTAAACAGAGCTCCGTTATTTATTAGTTACTTAATTGTATTTGCCCTCTCCCCTATTCCCTACTTCTCCTTTGCTTCCTCTCCACCCCAAACACACACACATACACACTAGACTGGAAGCTCTATATCTTGTTTAAACAACTGCAGTAATCCAGCACAGAACAGTGCCTGGCACATAGTAGGGGCTCAGTATTGTCAGGCTCAGAAAATCATACCCCAAAGCATGATGCTTTGACATGCTGAGTACTTTGAACTAAAGGAGACTGGAATGCCTCAGAAGCAGGCTCATAAGCAAAGTCTCTAACCTTCTCCTGTCCTCCGGTTTCCCACCCTCTTCCTGCCTCAAAGGAGTCATAGAAACCAGAATTCCTCTTCCTCAAGCAGGTCATAAAAACTAGAACTGCTCTCCTTCAAAGCAAGCCATAACACCTAGAAAGATCACTCTCTCTCTTCTCTCTTGAAGATCCTTGATCCAAAGGAGTCCTGTCCTATACCTGGGAAGAAGGAATGCTACAGCCAAGGAGTGTTGGCTGTAAACCTTAGGATGGGTGAAGGAAGATATCATGGCCCGGCAAGGTGGCTCAAGCCTGTAATCTTAGCACTCTGGGAGGCCGAGGCGGGAGGATGGCTCGAGGTCAGGAGTTCAAGACCAGCCTGA